ATAAATATGGATCAAGGAATGAAATATGTATTCTGATGGCTCATATAGGGTAAGCTGAGGGACACCAAGATGTGCCCTAAAACTTACCCAATGGCTGTGTGATCAGTGTGGGCAAAGTGTCTGGATGTGGAGTGTACACATAGGGGCCATATCCTTAGTATAAACACCTGAAGGTTTCTTAAAAGCTACAGTTGGGAAATCCTACACCCAACGTATGATTAGCTGTAGTACAGCATAAAATTCCCTCCAGGCTGTGGGTATAAACCGTACACAAAACATCAGCGAGTCTCCTGTTCTCAGTAGACCTTACCCTCAAGCTATCTCATTACATACAGGCACATATTCCCTCACCTCCCTAAGCAGCAGAAATCTTACGGACTTTTAGTACCAAGCAGCTGAACTAAGGGATAACTGTATTAACCATTTTGTTGCTATTGCCTCTGAGTAGTGTTTTGAACTGAGATTGTCGGAGGGAGTTTGCTACCCACGAAGTTTTCCCATGACATCAGGCAGGCAAAGAAAGCAAGATTCCTGAACTGGGGGTGGGGCTGGGGAGAATGACTCTGGAGACCAGGAAGAGAAGTCTGAAGTTCTCTGCCCAGAGCTGGGGTGTGCAGCGGTGGGGTCACACAGGGAGCCTGGCAGGTCCTCAGGGGCTCCGAAGACTGGGAATCAGCTCAGATTCAGTAGTGACAGTTTATGGCCGGGCACCCCATCCTTCCAGCCAATGCAAGCTTGTATTGACTGTTGCCTCCCTGTCCACAACTTGGCATTGAGAATCTCCTTCATTCTGTTTCAGCTTTACAGCCACCTAACAATCTTTTACCCCCTTCTTCTTTCTTAAAATGATTCCATTGCTCTCACACAATGGAGTTAGTACCACCTCTGCCAAACTGGATCGCCTGCAGTTTCTGCCCAACGGGTCACTTGCATGTCCCCATTTTGTTATTTGAGGTGCAAAGAAAATATGTTTTCAGATTTCAAAGCAAACAGTTATGTGAGCAAAATGGGCCAAAGCAAAAAAATAGAGCCATTATTATAAATGAAATCCAGCCCAATCCGGGTGGGGGGGACAGAGCAGGGAGATCTCACGCTTGGTGGATTTTTATGCTCCTGTCCTTCTCCACGGTCCTTTAGAGGACCCGAGCACAGCATCATTTTCACATGGAAATGAATCATCACTAAACCGCAATGTGCTTCTCTTTAAATGGACAAAGAAACGAAACAGAATGAGAAGCAAACAAAATCACATTTCTGCTTTAACGTTCTTGGTTTCAGCAAGGAAGAGGTGGTTCTGAGGCCACCGACCTCTATTCAGGAGCTCAGCCTTTTACCTATAATTTTATCAATTATAGAAGTTGATGCTTTGTGTAGCTGGTGCCAAAGGCGCTGGGGAAATATCATGGCAAAATTCTTAACTAAAAAGTAAGGTTATCCGAATTCCTAGCGAACAACCAATAGCACAGCTACCCTACGTCAAATAAACACAGGACGATGCCGCTGCAGATCAGCATTGTTCTCTCATATACCCTTTCTGCAGCTCCGCCTTCACCGCTAACACTGTGGGAGTCCATGTGGGACAAGGGTCCAGGGCCTCTGCCCTCCGGACACACCAGTCCCTCAGTTATTGTGGGTCTGAGAATGAGCTGGCTGCCTTCATGACCTGATCCAGGAAGAGCTGCCAGCAGCAGCATCTTGGTGCAAGCTCCAGAAAGTGGAGAATGCTGGTGCTAAGGCTTTGTTCTGCCTTCTGAAGTGGTAGGTGGGTCCCCTTGCAGGAAAAGGGGCTTTTGAGCTGCTCGGACCTGGAAGATTTTGTCCAATTCTCCCTTCCACATTGACCCTATATATCTATATTTTGTATATCCATTGCTTTTCCCTTTCACTGCATAGATTTGTAGCCCAAGGCTCATAACATAAAAAATACCTCTGTGGCAACACACATAAACGGAATACTTCTGCAAAAAGTTCTCATTTCTGATGCACAGCCTTTGGGCAAAAGGTAACATTTGCTCTAAAACAAATATTAAAATCAGTGTTATATGGATATGTGAAACATTTACAATGAAGGACACAAAATAAGGCAGCATTTTCCTCAGGGGTGGGGCCCAGTCCTTCATGAATATATCGGGCACTTTCTGTATAAATGATCTTTAAAAATGACCTATTAATACAATGACCGCTATTAATACCTATTAAGACAATCACCAGACACACGTGGCATCCTGTAATTGTACTAATACTGTTCAGGTGCTTTAAGGTTCATCCTTAATATGGATGCTCCTCATCTCACACAGGATGGCAGCCTGATAAACCCATCACACACTGCAAATACCAGACAGGGAAAAGGCATTCATCCATATGCTACACCGAGTTGTCTTTCTTAGCAACACGGCACTGCAGCACACCAGCTGCTTGCCACTGTGACCTCAAGCCTGTCTGTGAGCTGTGGCTTGCTTCTAGTTACCCAGAACCACAAGTAGGGTCGCCATGGCACTTTGCTAGTCGTTGGGAGAGCAGAACCACTTTCCACGCTCGAAGACGACTGCATGTGTACCTCTTTTGCATCACTGCAGTCAAAACCAGTAAGTGAAAGCCTGGGCTAAGCAGGCCTGTGTTTCTGAAGCAGGCATTACTAACTTCAAATGTCTGACGACGCCACAGAAGTGACCCTCGCCCCAGTGGCAGGAACTTGACCCGGATGTCAGAACAAGACACTCTACTCTGCCTGACAATGCCATTTCATTACTATGTGCCTAAAAATGTATGTCTACTAAAGCCCTCCTCTTACTAGTAGTAGGTGCTCACTAAAATGCTCACCAAGATGACATAAGATGAAAAATACTGGGTAAAATAAATACCAAGCGGACCACTTTATATTTTAAGGGCTCAATGGATACATGGAATAGAAACCTTGGAAGACAGGAATATTTACCAATTTGGAATGATGCTTGAGATACAGCCTTCTGGTACAGGATCACAGTCCACTGGCACACAAGTTCAAAGAAACCATTCACAACCTAGCGAACACCAGCATCGCACTGTGCTTAAGACAATGCACAGACGGGAGGAAGGCTGTTTGACAGAGCCACTGGGTGCATCTAAAACAATACTGACTACTGTGTGTGCTTGTTAATGAACACTAGAATGATTCTACATCTCCTGAAGGGCTTTTGGAAGAGTGGCTGTTGGACCACTTAATCCTCTGCCTTGAATGTCATCTGGAAAAAAAACAGTTAAAATTTCCTTTTTTTTCATTTCTAAGGATTCTGCCTCAGTTGTAAAAGTAATTTTAAAATAAGACACATGAGATGACAGACATATTTTCAGAACGTATTACTTTCATCTCTTAGCACCTAGCACATCTTATATAAAATAATCTTTGCTTAGAATGGTGCAGAGGGAACATCCACCATGATTTCCACTTAGAACTATTTGGGGGTTCAAGTAGCGAGGTGCACGGAATGCCTACCAAGTTCATTTCAGCTTGCCCAGGTCCTTCCAGCTCCGCTTCTAAGAGCCCTGGAATGCAGGCAGAAGGTACCAGCTAGGGGGCTGCTGTGCCAGTCCGTTGATGTGTGGACATAAAAGCATGGCCTCGAAGGGACTGGCAGAGGCTTTGTATAGGGCATCGGAATGAGGTCTAAGACTGCAGGCGCTCTCCCCTCTGTGGCCTGATGTGGTTTTCCTCCCCATTCTGCTCCTCCCTCCCCATTCTGCTCCTCTCTCCAACACCTCACGGATGCTCTTTGAACTTCTGTAAGTTGACAAGCCACCAAACCTTGGGAATCCTTTCACAGCTGCTGTCCTTTGGCCCAGGCCATCTCTTTTGCTCCTACTATGGAGCAGTGGTCCCAACTCCTCTCTCAAGCTGTGGCCTGGCTCAAAGGACTGCAGCACAGCACCAGGGCTGGTGTGAGCAGAGTCTGGAGCCTTTTGCATGGATTATTTTCCGGTATGTTCAATTCCCTTAAGGCAAATGAGTAAAAATCTACGTGATGTCTTCTTTGTCAGTTTCGGTTGCTTTGAGCCCTTATCTAGTCCCTACTCTGCTGCAGAGAGAAAAAGAAAAGACAATGGAGGGGGGTGGGGGGAACAAGCTCACTTGAGGATTCCTGAGGATCCTGATCACCTAGACTCTGAATTAAAAGTAATCAGATAAATATTTAAAGTAAAAAACTACAGACCCCTCTGGGAAGAGCTTGCCCTTGACCTGAAAACAGAGGCCAGTTCACTGTGATGCTTCAAATTCCCATTTATTCAAGATAAACTATTTTATGAAGTGGAGAAGGGCTGCTGTTTGCTTTAGGAATGCTACCCTCTGCCTGCAGTTTGTAGACTGGCTTTTGTTTCATTGTGTACTGAGAGGGAGTTTTCTGCTGTGTTTTAACAGAAAGGCGTATCTTTGTTCGGGGCAAGAGGTCAGAACTGAAGTTCAGCGCCTCTCCATCTCCCCAGCTTCTGAACCTATCACAGCTTCACGCTAGAGAAATCCGCTAGCGGCCGATCAGCAGCTGCCTCTCACCTGCCGGTGCCTTGCCAGGTAGGACACAGGCTCTTTACCACCATCTTCGGTCTCACTTGGATGAGGAAATAGAAGCACCGGAGTTTGGGTACCATGCTTGAAACCGCTGCACTGCTATGCTTTCTGCACACCTTAGCTCTGGCGAGACTCAAGCCTGCACTCTGTGCACCAGGCCTAGCCTGGTCGGCCAGACGGCGAGGAGGAAGCCCTAACTAGTACTACCGCTTATATCACAGGATAAAGTAGGGAGATGAGACAGCGAGGTGCCCCGAAAACTTGGTGACCAGAGCCATTCATAATATGTAAAAACAAGTCCAAAGAATACAATACGGGGTGAAGACAATACAATCTCTTTGTTTGGTGAGATTCTCCAAGGGGCTCCCTAAATGTCACAGCATCCTCCTTCGTGGAAAATAATCATTCTAGTGTCTAGCTAAGGAAATTAAAATATCTTGGGAGCAATGGAAACAATAACGGAGTCACAACCCAAGAGATAGCATCAGACTGATCCGAGAAACCCCATCTTCTCGGGGCTGCTCCTTGAGCAGCCTGGGGTCGCACAGACCATGTTCTGTCCTCTGAGATGTGCTCCCAGGAGGGGCACATTAGTCAAGACAACAAACAGAGGAGCTAGAAGGCATGAAGACACGGGGGGGGGGGGGCTGTTGACTCAGAAAACTTGACTGACCCTCTGGCACATGGCGGGCAGGGGAAAAAATGAATGACATATGGAGCGTACATATATGACACAAATAAATATTGCATGCGGCAGGGTAGGAAAGGATGTTGAATGGAAAAAGAGAGCAGAGATTTAGCATGGTAGACAGTGCTGTCACAGGAAGAAAAAGATAAAGAAACGAGGAAGCGAGGGGCCTCCAGGAGTCAGTGGAATAGAGAAGGCTTGTTTCTTGGGTTTGGAGATAAAGGGACAGCTAGCGGAGGGTAAGGAGAGCCAGGTGAAGGTATTTATTTCCAGGTGGCAGAAGTGGGGTATCCTGTGCTGATGGGAATGATACGGTAGAAAGAAGAGTGCCCAGGCTGCAGGAGAGACCTGCACACTGGAAGTGGGGGGACTGAAAGAATCAACTTCAAAGTGAACATGCAGGGACAGTGAGTCACAGGTGTCAGGAGATGGAATTGGACATCTACCATTGCCTGTGACATCAGGGTTCTGAAGGAGTTCGCAGGAAGAGTGGTGTAGGTGTGTGCCGGCTCCTCAGAGCACTGAGGCAGCACAGAGAAGGGGTGTGCAGAGGCTACAGGCTCAACGGAAAGCTGCAGGGAGCTTCCTAGATGCGGGCGGGCGAGTCAGCAGTTACGTAGGGCAGACGGTGAGCTACCACAGAGGCAGAGCCTCGTAGGCGCTGGAAGCTGGAGTTCCCCATCTGCTCCAAGACTCCTGCCAAAAGCGAACGGTCTGAATGAAAAGTCTACCTACAGAACCGGGAAGGGGAGTGTCGCTTTTGCGGATTCCTAGTCTACCAATGGGGAATCTGAAACCCTAAGCAAAAAGAGCTGAACTCCAATAGAGATTGAGTTGTGTGACCCCTGATCAAGTGGTCCTACGTGACAGGCTCCATGGAATCCTGGGGCATCCTCACACTAGTGAGAGTTCCTGGCTGGATTCTCACAGAAGTATGGCCTGTGCCCATAAGATGAAATGGCTGAGTCGGCCTTGTGCGTGAGGATATGGAGTGTTTGACACGGACTACACCACGGACTGCTATGTGACCCTCGTACCCATCCGTGAACACTTCAGGCTTTTTACTCTCAAGGAGGAGTGGTGCTGGGGTGCACATATTGGCTTCTGCTGTGGTGGGAGGTACAGTGGTTCTTCAGCTCACAGGTAAGCACTAAGGGTTGTCTCTTCAAAGGGAGGGGTAAATAAACTGCTTTTTTTCCACTCAGAAGGCTTGGAGAGGATGGGGATTAATAGCCTTGTGACCCTTGTACTATCTCTATGGCTGAGGCCACAAGGCTCATCAAGCTATAGATCCCATCTTTAGGGAGGTGTCACATGTAGGAAGACCACAAGGCTCGTCACTCTATAGAACCCATCTTTAGGGAGGTTCCACATATAGGAAGAGTTTTGATGCAGTCACACACTGAGCTTTAATGGAGATTGAGTCCATCACCAAGAAAACTTTCAGCAAATTGCACTGCATTCAAATTTGTCAAAAACAGACTACTTGAGGTCAGACTCCCAAAGTTGAACCAACACCAGCTACTGAGATGCGTTGACCTAATCACCTTCTTGCCTCCCATGGATCATGACTCTGCTGGCTGTGGTGGCTGCACAGACCCCCACATGTAGCTAATGTGCTGTGGAAAGTCCTATCAGGTAAAGGCCGCTTCCAGACTTGAAGAATACAAACATTTGAACAGGTAAAACAATCGAGATCCAGAATGAATTACTCTGCAATGAAATGAACGTTTTAACCAGACAAAGGACAGTATAGAAGAAGCTGGTTTATAGTCCAGCCTGAAAACTTTAGACGGGAGTCCTATAATAGGTAGGAGAAGAATGTTAAATTACGTTCAAGTATGCTCTAGGACTCTGAAACTTCTCACTGCCAAAGCTGAATTTACTATTTCCAGAGTTAAAAAAGGAAAAGAAAACATAAAACAAATTTAAAGATAAACAAAACCAAATAATAAGCATGAAAATCTTAATTGTTGTACAATGTATTAAGCATATGGTAAGAAAATGTGTGTGAGATATTCTGTCTATGAAGAAACAGACACTACAGTAGAGGGCACAAGAGAAGTGGGCTGGGTGAAAGAGTAACAAAGCTAACTAAATAGGAGGCTGGCTTGTCCTCCCTAGCTGGCTCCCTGTGCTGGCTGACATCCGAAATCTTATATGGACCCAGACCTCAGGCACAGAAGCAGAATCTTTTTAGGTATGTACACGTGTGTTGTTCCTGGTGGTGCACTTGATGGGAGTTTATGGCTCGCCAAGAAGACCCTCAAGGAAGAACTACTTGGGGATGCTCTGCTGGGGCTTTGAAGCAGGCGGCTGTAGTCTGGAGGTCTGTGACAGCCTCTAATAACATTAAGAGCTGATGTTCGCCTGCTTAACAGTGTGTTAATGATGTGTTACATCTACCTGTAACACGTCAGCTTGCAATGGATTAGAAAACATTTGGCCAAAACTGCAGGCCAGAAACCAAGCCACTAAAACCTCCAGTCAGGGCCTAGTGCACTGAGGAAGGAGGCCCCAGGCTCAGAACTGATGTGTGCCACAGAAACACATCTCATCTCCAAGGGAATGCTCTGGGTAGCACAGTATCAGTGAATCAGCTTTGAGGTTCGCACTCTGCTGTGAAATTCTTCTTCCTTTATTGACAACTGGCAGGAAGGTATTGGATTTTTCCTTTTTGTGTAAAATCTTTGAAGATAGGTGGTGGCTTGTGTACATTTATCTGTTTGACTTACTTCCACATTCTGCATCACTCCGAGGGTTATGTGTAAACAGCAAAGAGACTGAGCCTTCCTGTAGTTACAAGTATAACGGGAGAAGGATTTTAGTAAATGAAGCCGGTGCACCTATAGAGTAAATTTCTCCACAGCTCACCACCAAAATGAAATTTATCCCAGGAGACAAAGAAAAGAACAATATCTATAGATATCACTGTCCATTTCCACAAGTTTCTCAGTGAGCACAGTCTGTGGACAAAGAACTATCAATACCTAGCTGCTCACTTTTCCATGCCAGCTTTTTTAAACAGTATGACAGACAGCAGAGAGGGATCTATTTCCCAGCTAAGAAAGTCATGTGTCATCCTTCCCAAAGTCTGTCTCTCTACGCACAGGGAAAAAGACAGACACTTCTGTCCTTCCTCTCTGACTGATGGGAAGGGTTCCTTTAAGCAAAACTCTAAAAAAAAAAATAAAGTATGTGTACGTGTGTGTGTGTGTGTGTGTGTGTGTTTGTGCAATTTTCTTCCCTGAAAAGCATTTATCAAATGTTCCTTTATGGCAGGACCATTTGATATCCTTGGTTCATTTCTCCAGCCAGACTGTGAATGTGCCAAACAGAGTCTGGCAGGGCAGTGGGGAATGAAGGGAATATGAAGATTGCAATGGTTTTTCAGAGACTAGTTTTCTCTGGTCAAATAACTCATACGGAAGTCTAATGGCCCCAAGATCCTCTAGTGATGTATGGAAGGTCATGCATGGTACAATGGACCAGAGCAGATGTTGGCCTTCGCCGACCATATCTGGGGACCATTATTCTCCTGTGACTGCAGAAGGTCATAGAACAATGAACCACAGCAGATGCTGGCCTTCACTGACCATGTCTGGGCCCAGTATCCTCTCGTGATGTGTGGAAGGTCATGGAACAATTAATCACAGCAGATGCTGGCCTTCACTGAAAATATCTGTGCTCCAGAATCCTCTCGTGCCTGTGCAAGGTCGTGGAGCAATGAACCACAGAAGGCAGTGGCCTTCATTGACCATGCCTGAAAGGATTCAGAAATCCTCTTGGGTGTTGGCATTTGTCAGCTGCCACAGGAGAACAGGAGCACAGCCCTCTAAGGTGGCTGGGGAGGTGACAGACGGGCTGGAAGCACTCAGCATGTAAACTGACACACAGAAGTTGTGCTAGGAATTATTACAGCAGAGATGTTATTTTTAATGGAAAGAAATTTAAAGTACCCTGTGGGAAAATTATGTCCCTGGTCAACTCAAGAGTTGCAAACAAAACAAAACAAAACAAAACAAAGAAACCAAACATGCGAACTTAAGGTTTCCTTGTAAGATGATACATGGCAAAATGAAATCCATTATGTATAAGTGAATCTTCCTAGCTCAGGAGGTACGACATTAAATTTGTTACCTGCTTAAAGAGAATGCTCACGTGTGCTACGCTGCCTTCCAGCCCCTAATGTGCTTTCTTCTCTCTCAGTGTTTTCTTTTTTGCAGTATGCCCTCCGTATTTCATTACACAGGCATTTAGGGAGTTTATTTTTAAAGCATTACAAATGTAATTATGCTTTTAATGTCCATCTTCCTACACCTGCTGAAACCACTTGTAAGCTTCAGGGACTAGCATGAAGTTTTGTAGATTCCTCCAAGGTTTCTATGTATACAGTCTTGTCAGACAAGCTAAACAGCGAGGAAGGGGGCTAATGATATGGAATCAGTCTAGATTCCCACCAGCAGATGAATGGATGGGGGAGAAAATATGGAATATGTACACATAGGAATTTTAGTTTAGCCATACAGGAAAAACTTAGTTTCCGTGCTTGCATGGTTAGCACTTTCCTGACTGAGACATTTACCAAGCAATACATCTATATAACCATACCTACCCACCTACCTACCTACTTACCTCTACGTAGAAGTAGGAGGGAGTTCTGTGCAGGAAGGAAGGGGACCAGTTGGGGGAGGAGGCTGACAAGGGCAGGTAATGGGAGGCAAACACAAAGGGCAATGGTGTATGAAGATAGCACAATGAAGCTCATTTGTATGCTATTTAAAAATAATTAAAAATAAAAGGAGAAGCAGGCAGCCAGTTCTCACAGCAGATTGCCTTGCTTGCTCCCTAAGAATGTGTTGATAAGAGGTTAAACAAATCAAGGAAACGGGAATTTGCTCAGAACTGATCTCTTGTCTAGCAAACCTAGAAGAACAAACCACTTTTCTGATTAAATTTCCTAGTATTTTTCTAATCCACACAGAATAAGAGTCGGTGGCAGCATACTTAAGATTTCCTAAATTTCTTCATTCGTTTGGTGCCCTAATATTTATGTATTTATTTACCCAGAACTTTGGCTGTTTGAGACGGGGCCTCACTGTCTAACCTGAACTTCCTAGAACCGGCTCTGTAGCCCAGACTGGTTTCAAACTTACAATCCTCCTGCCTTTGTTTCCTAACTGCTGGAACAACACACACTAGTTTCTGCATTTTTATTAAGTTATCATTTTAACAGAAATAGATGTAAAAAGAAGGAATACCCTGAAATCTCACGCTCAGTTGACATGTGAAAGTCTGCTCTAGTAACAGTGACAGGCATTTTTTTTTCTTTTGCTAAAAATAACAAAAGACTTCTATTCTTCCTTATACCTCCCACCCCCAATGCTCCCTGTAGGTTTAGGGAACATCTTTACTATATTTCACCTCTCCTCACACACATACATACCAAGAACGTGGGATTTAAGGGCTATAAACAAAGATAACAAAAATGTCCAATGAAAATACATAAACAATGTTGCACAGACCCTAATCCGTATCTTCCCGGCCTGTTATGTGTTTGCCTTTGAGACTAACGTATTCCTGGTGAGGGAGGAGTGCTGGCTGAGAGTGGAACCCAGAACTTACTGTAACCACGACCTAGGAGGGTCTCATGAACTCAGAGAAACCAGGGCCATAGACACCCATGTTCACAAGCCCAGCTTACTGCAGGGCGACTAAGTTCCCCAAAGAATAGGGAGGTTTCTGCCAGCACACACAGCAGCTACTCGGAAGAACTGGGGTCATCCCAACAAGCGAGTGAACAGTAAGACAAACTTGTTCTTCCCCTTTGTTCCTCCACTAGCTTGACAGAAATAACCAGACTGTCCCCAAAATAAAGACGGAAATAGAGGAAAAGGAAGTGATATAGAGCAGACGGGCAGGTGCAGATGCAGGCAGAGAAGCTTCCTTCACACATCTCGGCCTCCTCTTTCTAGAATAAGAAACACGGCTTCCTCATAAATAGAACAAAACTGAACCCCATGTCACAAACACTCTTAATTAACTTTCTGCTTTCATTCTGCCTTCTGAAGCGACGGCGGGGCGAGAACTGTATTTCAGAAGCTACAATCACAACAGCCGGGAGAATAAGTCTGGCACAACACGACAGATTTGTTCTCAATTCCTATTTATAAAGCAGAAGCTGTGATAGGTCCAATGATGCCTGATGACTTTTTGTAATAAAGCAGTCAGCGGATCATGCTGGCTTGAGACAGAATCCAGCCTTCTCTGCACACTGGGCTCTGAAGGTCGTACACAGAATACAGTTAAGGAACCTCCCTGCCATGACTTGAATAACACACATAAAAAGTATTTTCCATAATGACCCAAATGTTACTTTTGGTTCAAAATGACAGCAAGACTTTTTTTTTTTTTTGGTTTATCATTCAATTCTCTAATCCCCTAAAAGAAGAATTTAATAATAAAAAGTACAGAAAGAGCAGGAAGATACAGAGGTATTTTAGTCATCTGTCCTTGTTGCTGTGACAAAACCTCTGATGACCAAGACCTAGCGGAAGAAGAAAAGGGTTCATTTAGCTCACAGTTGTAATCACCTCAGTTGGTCATCCTGCACTCAGGACACCGATGAACACTGCTGTCCCCCTCATGCTCTCCTCTCTCAATGTCCAGACCCCAAGGACACAAACCAAGGAATCCCCAGACCCCAAGGACACAAGCCATGGAATCCCCAGACCCCACGAACACAAGCCATGGAATCCTGAGACCCCCAAGGACACAGCCAAGGAAGCCCCAGACCCCAAGGACACTAGCCATGGAATCCCCAGAAAAAATATAACCAAGGAATCCCCAGATCCCAAGGACACAAGCCATGGAATCCCAGACCCCACGAACACAAGCTATAGAATCCTGAGACCCCCAAGGACACAGCCAAGGAAGCCCCAGACCCCAAGGACACAAGCCAAATGGAGTGGTGCCACAAATATTAAGGTGGCTCTTTCCACCTCTGTTAACCCAACTCAGAAACCGCCCCACAGACAGACCCAGAGGTTTGTTTTCTAGAGGATTCCAGCTCCTGTCAATCTGACAATATTGTCACAATGTGTGAGTGTACTGTAACTGACCTAGCAAAATAGGTGTCTGGATGAGGTCCTGGTGAAAAATGAGAGCATTTGCTTGGCACCGTGTCCCCAAAAATGCAGGACTTGGAAACAAGAAAGGGACAGAGAGGGCTAGAAACAAAGCAGAGAAAGTGGAATCTGTGAGGCTACAAATGCAGCCACGGTGAGCCAGGAACCAGTTCTACCACAGCTCTAAGTGAAGCCTCAGTACCCAAGGCATTCTGGGAGAAGGCCTACACTGAAGGCAATAGGCCAAGATCATCAACACAGCTGTGGGTTCGTATTTGCTCATTGCTGAGTATGCCTAAGGCCAAGAGTGGAGTATGAGACACAACAGGAAGGAATTTTGTCCTTGATGAAGCTAGGGATCCCAATTTGTAGAACGTTGACTCAACATACGACTTCATTCAGTACATGCATATGGCCATCGATAGCTCTCACCTTCATACACGGAGATTCCTGCTTGATTCGATTCTCAGGAACTTCTTTAAAGTGGTATGGGACTGCTAATCTGAGCCGAGCATGAAAGCCAGAGCCCAGATAATCACACAGACGAAAAGAGGCCTACAGAAGATAAGGCATTCAAAGAACATTTGATGATAACTTCAAAAGACCTGGAAAATATCCAGAGAAGTCTGTGGAGTAACTACAGCCCCCAAATAAAGCCAAATGGTCTTAAAAATGTAAAAATTCAAAAAACCGACATAAGGAATTAAATGTATCCTTCAAATAAGAAGATTCAAAATAAGGTTTGAAGAAAATCCAGAGTGTTTTCTGGAATAAGATACCTGAAGTCAGAATAGAGGGAGGAGATGATGTCAAGGACGAAGGCTGTCTAACTAGCACTCGAGGGAGACAACAACTGTTCAGAAGAAACAAGACTGACCTGGAGCAACCATTTCAGAACAACTTCTAGGAACGTAGAGAGACCTGGGAATGTAGATACAGATCACCAGAGGTCCCACAGTGAAGCATGCCACTGTGCAACTTCAGAAGCTCAGCTTCGGGAGAAAAACACCCCCACCAGGACACACAGCAGTACTGCTATTTAAAATCAGCACTCGATGTGACTTCAGAATTGCAGGAAATGATTTTTTTTTAAATGGAAAATGATGATTTACTTACTTTTTTTTTTTTTCGCTCAGACAATCCTTCAAATGGGAGGATAGAATAGAGTCTTGCTGACAGAAAGACTCAGGAATCGACCACTCAGGCCCTTTCACTCAGAATGCTTGACCGTGCTCCTCAGCACAGTGACAGAATAAGCCTAGGAAGAGACAACTTCCAGGCAAGAGGGAGCCTCCTCCGGACCCAGGATGGCCACAGGCAGGTACGGCAGTAGGTTCGTGACGTTGAAACATAGCAGCTGCAGAGAAACGAGTCACGGAGCAGAGGTGCGGAGAGGATGAGGGGGAACGCACGAGGTTTACCCAGAGGCACGTGCCAAAAGTCAGGCGTCCTGTCAGAGAGCCGTGTGGGTGGGACTCCAGGTCAGAAAACAAGGTGAAGGGCAGACAGGGAAGCATTTACTATGAACAGAGCCCTGGACAGATGAGGAACAGGGGCAGCGCAGTCCCGGAATGTGCAGCTTAACTTAAAAGCCAGCTCGGAATGAAGAGTCTACATCTTGTAAGCATTTCTTCTTTCTAGCATAGCCACCCAGCAACTCCAGTTTAAAAACCAACGCCAAACAAGCCAAAGCAAGACTGTAGGATTTACCCAGAATGCAGATTAATTAAAAAACAATTGATAATACAGACTGATATTTACAAACATTTATATTTTCAGATGGGTACTGTGGAGTCTGGGAGTGGATGCTCACTAACACTCAGTTACATTCCCCCACTCAGATGAGCTCTCCCAGGCTTCTGGGCCCAAGTCAAAGGCGTCTTATGCTACCATATCAATGAGCAATTTCTACAGCCCTGGCTCTCCCAATGGACAAAGGAGGTCCCTAAACTTCTCTGGTTCCTTTCCTCCTGGTCACATTCAGTCTCCCATCACTTTCCTATTGCAGGACTGGCTTTTCTATAAGTGTGACCAACCGAATCATCTAAATTTCTTGTCTGTGACTTGCCCTAGAAGCCAAGACAGCACCACTGACGTATAAAGATACCCACTGTTCACCTCACAGTTCTGCTCAAACATCCAAATAACAGAATACACAGCGTTATCTAGAGGAAAGAAGCACACGCTCTCTGTCCCTAACCTTCTTCACCTCCTGGGCCACTAACCAGCAAAGCATCACCTCAGGTGCTGTGTGCCGGGGAGGGCCAGGTCTCTGTGGATTCAGACGCTAGCTCCCCTTCAGGGCTTTGCAATAACTGTTCTCTAGGTTTTAGATGAAACCAGTCACAGACATCCTTTTCTTTTCACCTTGGGAACTTCAAGGATCTCAGAGGCATGTACTCAGAATGAAAGTGTCTTTAAAATCCAGCACTCGGGCAATAAACAACTGTCTCGGTGATGTGAGCTGGAAGCGCAATAGGGAAAAAGAGACCAGAACAGAGCTGGATTCTACTCCAGATAAGTCACGGTTCAGTACAGGAGATTGACAGCAAGGGAGGAGAGCCGGGGCCAGGGAATCAAAATGACTAAGTGGAAACATGAGGGATGCAGGGCCTCTGGTTCAGTGGACCTTCTATGATTTTTTACTGAAGACAAGCCGGTTGGGGTACGAAGAGACACCAAATAAGGAGAAATTCGATGACGGTCACACATAAGGGGTGGCTAATCTCTTAACTGAAGTAGCAAAGGATATTGCTACCTCAGAGTGATCCAGGTGCAAGATAAGGAAGATGAGGTCAAGGCTCTCTGTCTCCCGAGGCTCGCATGAAGTTGGCCGTCCTGATCACAGGTGGCAACTGGTGCTTCCAGGACAAAACGTGCTAGTGCACCAACCACACGTATGAAAGCCACACGGCAGAGCCATGCTCATGGTGGAAAGCAGGAAGGCGATGGGGTGAACTAAGTCTTTGGCGGTTATGGAAACTGTGTTATCATTCATGAGCACATTAGTGGGGAAAGGTAAATGTTTCCAAAACTTACAGCTAACGGCCTGCGTAGACCTGGAATCTAGCCACAGGCAAAGCTTTGACGCTACAGTCTTTCAGATGGTTTTGGAAGCTGAGATTTGTAGCATTATGAAATTAATTATAAAGACAAAAGCCTTTTGGCATCAAAGTTTAAAAATGTTATTTTACATGTTTCTAAGTTTTAAATACATAAAATATATCGAATCTTTCCGTTTTTGGAATGACATTAACAGACAAACTACATCTATTAAGTTTAATGCAGAATGATTAAGGAAACTGCAAAAACTGCCTTCAGGTTATGAATACAGATTATATTTACTAGTATGCATATCTATGAGATACACATTACACAACCATTACAGAAATAACACTTGGTACAAGGTTTTTCTTACGAATCAGAACTACCCGTGGACATTAACATAGTAATTCCTACTTAGGAGGTCTAGGAGGCACGGATGCCAAATTTTATACATAAAGAAACTGAGGTCCCAAGGTGTCGGGATAATCAATGCTTCTTCTGCCTCTGCTACAGTTCAGATGCCTCTCCTGGACAGCAAAGAAGGAACTGAAGCACCAAGAGTAGGAGCCACTCTTCCTCCTGGGCTGTTGTTCCCCGGCTCTGAGCTCCACACAGCAACTGACCTGAGCACTCAGCTTTCCCGTTCTCAGCTTGCTCCGATCTGTTCTTAAATATTAACTTTCACACCGTCTCACTGGGGACTGCGTCTGAAACAAGTCCTCTTTGTTCTGTGTTTGCAGCTCACCAGAAAGTGCCATGCAGACACTTACCAGCTTGCCTTCTGCTTGATCAGACTTCGAGAAACAATTTCACTAGATTTTCTAATGGGCTTGCCTGCTATTGATCCCTCAACCCCACAAACACACCACTTAAATGATTCTGAACACAACGGCACTAAAATGCTCTAAAATAGAACTGTGGAGAAGGAGGCTCTTAGCCTCTGGCTGCCCCAGCAGGTCTTGAGCGAGCACTCTCCGGTCTTCTGAACTGCGCTTGGTCTGACACTGAACTGACAGAGAAGCACACAGACTTGCAATCCCCACATCCCCACCTCCTCATTGCTGTGAGCCACCGAGGACAGAGCAGCTTGAGGCTGTTTTGGGGTAAGAATTGTTCCTAATATTCTGTCTTGTTCAGTCTTTCAGTCTCAGGATAAGGAGATACAAAGTTGTTTAACTGTATTGATAACTTCTGGTTTACTACCATGACAACTCAACTTCTGCGTCCAGGAGGAAGGAAGGCGAAGCTGCTTCCTGGCTTCCTCCCCATAGCTTGCTCAGCCTGTTCTCTTACTTCACACAGGGCCAGCTGCCCAGGATGGGTTCTGTCCGTATCCATCATTAAAAGATGGCTCAGTGGTTAAGAGCACTGGATGCTCCTCCAGAAGACCTCGGCGTAATTCCTAGCACCCACATGGCTGCTCACAACTGTCAACACTCAAGTTCCAGTGGCTCTGACTTTTCACAGACATACTTGTAAGCAAAACACCAATCACATAAAAATAAAAGGAAGGAAGGGAAGAAGGAAGGAAGGAAAGAAGGAAGGAAGAAAAGAAGGAAGGAAGGAAGGAAGGAAGGAAGGAAGGAAGGAAGGAAGGAAAAGAAAAAAGAAAAAGCCCACAGGCAATTTGATGGAAGCAGTCCGTCAGTTGAAGTCCCCCCCCCCTTCCCAGGTGGCCCTAGCTTGTGCTGAATTGACAAGAAGCAACAAGACAAACAACTAACCCACATAGGTGGGCACAATTGGTCATTTTCTGGAGATAGGAAGGTAGAAATTTTCATGCATTTATTGTCTCCCCTGCTTTGCACAGCTCAGTCGCTCTGTTTTATCTCTGCATGTCCAGAGTATAACACAGTACACGGTGCTGCGTTTACAAGTATCTGGTAAACATGAACTGGCTCCAATTCAAAACGCTGCCAAATGGCTGAGCTAGCATTTCAATTTGGGTCACTATGCCTCTGGAGGCATAGCTCAGGAAGGCTGTAGCATTTTGCCTCCTTTTACACCCTTTTATTGGGGGAGGAGAGTGGGGGTGGTGTGGGGAGGAGTCAGGAATGGAGTTTTCTCTGCTCCAAGGTATACTGCTGAAACGCATCTTAAGGTGCTCTGCAACAACTAGTGACAAATATGAGCATGGAACATGAAGCTGAGAGGTGAGTCGGCTACAAGGTCTTAGGATTCTGCTTCCGGCTACTGTCTCTTGGTGTGTCCACGTTTGTGTGCTCATGCTCAGAAGTCATTGTCTACAAAAGCAGTAAATGAGCAGTATTTTTTTTTACTGGGCAAAATGCACACAAAGGGAATTCATTTCTTTAGTTCTAACGAAAATGGAAAATGAGCCAGCAAGGTTATTTCTTCACCTCCGAGGAACCAGACAGGGCTGCACACCCCAATGGGCTATGGACTATTCCGAACACTTCCTTTGCCAAATGAGTCACAGATTTTTGAGCAAGTAGATTAGTCTAGAATTTATAGGGATGCCATTGCAGATTAAAACAAAACTGTCTTAGTTGGGATTTCCACTGCAGTGATAAAACATCACGGCCGACGGGCTAGCTGGGGAGCAGAGGGATTTTCTTCACTGTGCAGCTCTCAGATCACACTCCGCCACTTCAGCGGCTACTCGGTTCGCTGTGACTCAGTTTCTCCCGTCTCACAAGACAGAGAGTATTACTCATCTCCTCGGACTGGGAAGTGAATGAACACATGGGGATAGTAGAGAACAGCCCCTCACTTACATGGCTAGCTTACCCTGTTGACTATCCTACATGAAACCACTGATGTGTTTCTCTTCTGCTCCTAGTCTGCAAATATAGGAGTGCCCTCATCTACTGAAGAAGATTAAGTAAGAAATTATAGTAATAAGCACCTGTAGTCTTTAGATAATTTTTGGCATTCTGTATTGTCATAATTATCCTTCTTTAACATGTTGTTATTGAGCTCTTACCATGGCTGATAAATAAATCATATTTATCACAGGCATTTATTCATAGATTAAAAACAGTATTATAGGATGGGCATCAGCCATGGCTGAGCGTGGAGAACACAAAGTTTCTGAAGGTACTGAGTTCGGCTGTGGTGCCGGAGGCCATGGGGCCAAGGGTGAGCGTATTTGAGAATGCCAATTACATTACAGATAAACCACAATATTGAAAGGAAGTTCTAGCTTCGTGAAAATATGTAATCTGTTCTTGTATCTTAACTATAAGTAGTTATCCAGTACAGATCTATTTGGTGCGTAAATAACAGCAAGGATACAGTCTGAGAAAAAAGGCTTTTGGATTAATAATGTCCCTTCCTGCAGACAGACTCTACTGGGATGTCCATGTCTGCCCCACACCATAGGAAAACACAGTCTCCCTGCACAAATATTGGCCTTTGAGTTATTAGAGAGTTTTCCTCTTCTTAAGTGACAGGCCATCCTCATTAGTGACCCAGAGGTCAGGCCAGACTGAAGTCATTATCAAGTGTGTAGATGGCACTAATGGCAGGGCACCCACAGATACTCTCAAGCACAGAGTCTCGAAATAAAGTGACAGGGACTATAAGGGGGCACAGGCTCCTCCAACAGGAGGTGACACTGGAAGTGACTTGTGTCCCCTTCACTGCTTCCTGACACGTCAGCTGCGATGTGCCCTGAAACAATGACAACCAGGAGATCTCACACAATGACAGTCGGGATAAACAGCCAGGATGCTTTCTTTATCATCCACTCGTTCCTACGTGCAGATCTGCTCCTTTATCGCGGCGGCCTGATTGTGACCTGCTAGCATTTCCAGGCTGAAACCTAATCATTGCTGCAACAGTGTTCGCAGGCCTGGACCGCAGAAGGCCAGCAGCCTAGGAAGGAAGATCCCTATGAGCATCCTGGGAAAGGGTTGAGGAGAACCGAGTTCTTTCTCTACACATGGTGAGGACCCAGCAACACTGTCCATCCGTGAACCAGGAAGTGGGCCCTCAACAGATACCGATCTCTGGCCTTGTGCATTTTGTCTCACTGAATTTTGAGAAATAAACTCCGGCCAGCTGTTGGAGTCACTCAGATTATGGTCTTCGGTTATAGCAGCCCAGATGAACTGTCACTGCACTGAACAGAAACCTTTGAGAACACCTTGGAATCACAAAGATGAATGTTTCACCTGAGGGCGCATTTGGGAACACATTGCTAGAAACTGCTTCCAGGTTTGTGGGAGTAAATATTCGGAGGGACTAGGTCAGGATGAAGCCACGGACACATGTTAACAAGGTGAAGCTCGCTGGGGGAGCTCAGGGGCCCCGTCCAGCGGATCTTCAGCACTATCGCTATCCTGCACCACGTGGAAGCTACGCCACCTCCCGGGGGATGAATGCAGGTGACTGCTAGTGCGATCCATATTGTTTATAAGATGGTAGCTTCCAAAAAAAAAAAAAAAAAAAAAAAGAACATTCTAATTCTAAACTGTACTAAGAGCTACGTAACAAAATTTCATTTTGTTACCAATGACTTGGGTCTGAAGTGTAACCAAACTGTAAGCATTCACGGGCAAACTTATTTAGCGTATATCAGCTAAGTAAGACGTGGCATGTGCCCAATACTATGCCCAACACAAGCTAGGTGCTAAATGAATGCGTGAGAGAACACAGCACACCTCCTTCCGTTCCTACATGTTGGAGAGAGGAACTGGTTGGCCACTATGGGAAATTCAAACAAGCTTTAGCTAACCAGTTCCTTTTATTTACAAGATGAAACAATTTGTCCACATCAGTCTTTCTGATGGCATCACAGAAAAGCAATTATGTATGTGTATATGTAGATCTCACTAACTACCGAGAACACAAAATAAAACCTCCAAGGAAAGCCTTTTCTCACCATGTTCTGGTGAATAGCGGAGTTCACCAGCCACTGCCATGACATTTTCACCGTGTTAGACAGTCCGTGTCTGCGGCTGATACACACTCCAAAGAAGGATGTGCAGCGGTTAGATGCAAGCAGAGAATTTCATACACGGAACGTGAGCACCTTTAGGTTCTGGCATCGGAGGGGTCCTGGAGCCAGATGTCAGTGGAGCTCACTGCACAGCTCTGCTTCCCGGTGACTTGTACCCGTAGTATCGTTACAACACGAGCATTTTCATGTCTGTGACTTAGATTCCTAGTGCATTCCTAGTCATTGCTCTCATGTCCAGAGGTTCCCATCACCTCTATAATCTCCTTTGCTTCTATCTGTCCACTGCAGTGTTACTGATTCTCATCTACGGAGTTAAAGAAGCGGGTAGTGAAAGTGTGCAAACTCACATTAAAGATAAATAATAACGTGCTGAATGAAACCTGAATAGCTAAGGAATGAAGCTCACAGCTACATGCTGCCCCCGGGAGGAAGCTGGCTCGAAGCTCAGAACGGCACGTGAGAGCTGGGGCTGGCACTGCACATATTATAAAAGCATCTAGAAGATCGCTTTCTGTTTGCAAGAAGGGACACCCAGACTGGTAAATAATCTATAAAGTAAAATTAGGCTTATTAAGATGAACACATTCAAATTATTCAAAAGCAGTATTTTCCTAACAAGAAGTTTAAGGGTTGTTATAATTAGGTAGCAATGTCCCACCAATCAGTTTATGGAAGTGTAAATGACGTCACACTGAGGACACTAAAATTCTAAGCAGAGCCTGAGGTAGCCCCATGCCGGGCTGCTGCGCTGTGGACTCTGTTCTCCCTGATGGTCCCTTGTGCTGCATTTTTTTGTTTCCCGTTCTGTATCTCTTCTATAAAAACTGGGCGCAACTAAAACTGCTGCTTTAATAATCTAAATGATTTGTATATTAATACGTGTACTGTGTTATTTACTTTCCTACTGCTGTGATAAACGCCACGGGCAAATTTCAGGAAGAGGCAGTTCATTTTGGCTTATGGTTCCAGAGCGCTGAGTCTCAGGAGACTTAGCAGCAAGCAGCAGGCACGGCAGCAGGAAGCTGAGCGCTCACACGCCAAATACAGGCTTGCAGCACACGGCGAACTGGATGGAGAGTAAGACCACATACTCTCAGAGCCCACTCCAGTGACATACTTTCCCCAAGAAGGCCACCCCTCCTAAATCTCTCCAAAGAGTGCCACCAACTGGGAACCAAGTGTTCCCATGTCTGAGTCTATGGGGACATTCTTATCCCAACCACTACGTCATCATTCTGTGGAAATTTTTCTCAAAGAATGAAAAAAGAAAATATAGAAAATAGTTCTCCCAATAAATATGATTTTCTATTCCGTTAATCTGCATCTGAAGGAAAAAGGAAACATAATATTTGGAAAACAATGAAGTTGAATCACGTTTTGAAATTTTCAGAGTAAGAAGCAAATTTACCCAAGTTTTCAAATCTCAAGGAGAAAACTTGTTTTTAATATTATATCCCACAGTGTGAATATAGATAACGTGTTATAGATTTCAAAATTACTAACAATAAGTTTCAAATGTTCTAGTCAAACACACACACACAAAAGTTAGGTATTTGAGACTTGACTTAGCTATTGCACCATATTTGTAAATAATGTCGTTTTGTACTACAGACATTTAGGAAATCATAAATTGCCAATATATGATAACAAAGAAATTGTAAAAATATTAGCAGGTAAGATATCATTGAAGTACAGATGCTTTTGCTCACATCCCAATTAAATCATGAATCAGCACAACACTTCCATCTTCCATGTGACTCACATCCACCGCTGATGCTCTGAAGACTTAAAAGTTTTAAAAATCTTAACCATCTTTTTTCTCTACAATTTCAAATGTATAACAACATCCAAAGTCTCTCTATAAACAGATTCCCTCTCCCTTTTCTAATCGCAGGACGTAAAAGTCTTCCATTTTAGAGTGTGTTAAACCACAAACACACAACACTGCTTCCTACTCTCATCAAAACGCCAGGGGTGATGGAGAACCATCTACCTTGGAGGGTTTCCTAAATAAATAATTCTGACCAATTCATTTTTATTTTTTTTTTTAAAAAATGACCGAAAGCAGAACAAATTTCCATTAGTTTCAAATCGTAAATTATTCCTGTGAATAGAAGCTCCAGGCCTTTTGTGGAAGTCGTGCAGCCACTCTTGAAGGCATTCTGTTTCCCCGTGTTGCTCCGCAGGCAGCACTGGAAGAGAGGCAGGGGCACAGAGGGAGGGTGTGGTGTCTGCAGCTTCCTTGGGTCTTATCCCTGGGCTTCTGAATAAATCACAGTTAAGTGTTTGCTGCAGGCTCCGCTCACTCCCAGAATGGGCTGGCTGCATTGACGGCAGGTTGAAGGCATGAAGACTGTAGGATGTTATTTAGTCTGAGAGTTAGAAACCAGGGCAGGCTGCCCTGCCAGCGTTGGCAGTGCTACAACTTGGTGTCTCTGGCGGCACTGAGGACGCCCGCTGGTCTGTCGGTGTCCTGGGCATCTTGCCACTGTCCAGAATTCCTAACCTCCTTTCTGGACAGCCCTCCTACAACTGTGGCAGTGGAGCTGGGGTGGAGAAGAGTGTGAGCCACCCCAGCCCCCAAACTGCACTCCTGTTCAAGCCAGTGCAGCCTCTGGGCAGGATTAACACTGTGGAAAAGGAAACTGCCATTTTCAGGGTGATTGTTAGGAACCGCTACTGTGTCTTTCTTTAAGACTAATAAGCGAATTAAGCCCTGGGGCTTCCATAGTTCTAGTTCACAGACTCTGACCAAGACCAAATTTGTTCAGCAAAAATTATTCTTGCAAATATTATGTTAAATTTGCCAAATTGGAGTTCAGTCTTCCTTGGTGCCTGTACTGGTAAGTACTTGGTAACTGATCTAAGCTTCTACCCATTTATTAGGTACTTTGACAAACAGGTATTTTTAAAGCAGGCCCAGCCTCAAACTTCATGTTAGGAGTGGTATGAAATGATACACGTTTATGACACAGAGGTCAAAGTCTAGTAGACAAGGAAGTAAGTAAAGCAGGCCGCATAGAGATGCTACCTGCACAGGTGAATGAGCAAAGCTCTCCACTGAAGACCTGCTGTTTAGGTGTTTAGCTAGGTCCTCAACAACTGACCCCACCCCCCCATGAGTCTTTACTAGGAACCGAAAGGGTTAAGTGGGCTGCCAGCATGTTGTCACACACCCATGCCTAGTGGCCACCCCACAGACGGAAGGTATTCTGTTGTAAAGCACAGCCCACCTGAAGAAGTCCTGAAGTGAGTGGAAAACAACTCATTTTAGCTGCAGCTTACTACATGGTGAAGTGGGAGGCGGGGCAGGCACTCCGGGTGTGGGGAACTTCTGAACAATGTCGGGATCCACTTCACATCAGGGAAGGTGGGGAAGTCACGAATGATGGAAGGGGCGAGAACAGTGGGACTGAAACCCTCACACCCTGGCTATTTGGGGGTAAGAGCAGCAGCAATTCCAGGACAACCATTGTCCTCAATATTCCAGAAAGCACCATGTGTGACTGATTCAAAGTTAGGCTAGGTTTCAAGTTCATTTGAGTCAAGTCTGTCGTTATAGTTGTCTGAGGTGGCATTGGCTTTCTGTGCACAAAGCAGCATCCTGAAGGTCTCTCACATCTGCCCCTGCAGCTCCCAGCTCCCCACTTTTCCTAGTCCCCAAGTTGCTCTGTGTTAAAGAAGTGTGGACAAGCAGAATCTGAAAAGTTCTAGGGAGTTATCTGCTCATCATATCTGCCTCCTCCACCCTGAGCAGTCACCACCTCTGTGCCCTGTTGGAGTCTGGCCTTGCTTCCAGTGTTGCAGAGTGTCCTGTAGCCTCCATGTCTGCCTCCCTCACGGTGCTGGAAAAGATCTCCTAGCCATGTTTTCTGTCTATCCTCCTTTCTGAGCTTCCTTACAGATCAACCATTCCTTACAGGAATCTTCACTCCAGACTCAGAGAAAAATTTGGAAAACCTTTGAAGAGTTTTATTTGAGTGGGGGAGAGGGTAAAGTTGGTGAGTATACAATATATTACAAAAAACTAGCTGTATGTTTATGTTTGCAAGAGGGCTGATACCTGAAAGACTGAATCCAGTGAACCAACCACCTTGTTTCCTGTCTGTGTAAGACATCACAGTGATGAAGCACTAGAAAGGCTGTGTGGAGAGATCCCACCCAGATGGACACTGAACTGCATTCCTGAATGTGATTTAACCAATCTTTCTGTTTGTTTGTTTATTTTTTGAGTTAGAGCTTCACTGTATAACAACCTTGGCTGTCCTGAAACTTGATCTCTAGATCAGGTCTGCCTCAAACTCACAGATTTACCTGCTTCTGCCTCCCAGAAGCTGGGATTAAAGGTGTGCACCACCACTGAGATTTAACTTATAAGAGGGCAGACATTACCCAACCAAGGCTGTGCATTACTGTATATAGTCAAGCATGCTGTTGATAGGGGTCCCCCTGGAGCACAGTAAAATGAGGTAGTATCACTGTGGCCATGCAGGGGCTGCTGGGATCCAACTTCCCACCTGTAATCAAGCTTCCTTTCTCACAGATCATATCACACGATTGGACAGACTAAAAACATTTGAAGTTCTTTGTATTATTCTTTATGGAAACATCTTCCAAAAGCAACCAATTTTGATGTTTTAGATTATAGGTATGTATTATAAGACTGAATGAAACAAGTTCTAATTATTTTAGACATTTAAAAATAAAACAATTTGCATGCACATTAAAAAACAGATCATGAATTCTATATCTCAATGATTTATACTAGCAAATGAAACTGGGTTCACAACCCTCATGAGACTGGAACTATCATTAGAACTTGGGCTGTATAACAAACACCTCATGTGGCCATATGCCTGTGCCTCTTTTTGAATGAGAAAGAAAAAACTAAGCTTTAGACTGTAAAACATTTCACTGAAATGTACCCAAGAAACATGAGTCTTTAAATATCCAATTTTTTGACTTCTGACCCTTTTCTTTAACAAATACAAGAAGGTCCAATATTCCGTAAGCAGAAGGCTACAGTGACTATGCTCACGTACCTGCACCCTTGAGGTCTGCATTCAGGGCTCCACACAACCACAAATCATGAACTTGAGGGAAAACCCTGTATAAACATGTATGGATGTTCTTTGAGTCACTATTCTGCAAGCAGAAGAGCTTTCCAAGCATTCACACTGCATTAAATATCAAAAGTTGGGCAGAGATGACTCGAAGCAAATGAAAAAGGATGTTCAGGGCATGTGCAAACACTTCTATTTTACCTAGAGTGACTTGACCGTCTGAAGATTTGGTATGGGCGGCTGAAGTAGTCACATACATTATCCACAACAGGCAATAGATTGTCTTTAAAAGAAAAACAATGTTCTTTTGATGTCAAGCTTCTTGAGTTCTTTGTATATTTTGGAGATCAGTCCTCTGTCCGATGTGGGGTTGGTGAAGATCTTTTCCCATTCTGTAGGCTGCTGTTTTGTCTTGTTGACTATGTCCTTTGCTTTACAGAAGCTTCTCAGTTTGAGGAGATCCCATTTATTAATTGTTGCTTTCAGTGTCTGTGCTACTGGGGTTATATTTAGGAAATGGTCTCCTGTGTCAATGCATTCAAGTGTACTTCCCACTTTTTCTTCTATGAGGTTCAATGTGGTTGGCTTTATGTTGAGGTCTTTGATCCATTTGGACTTGAGTTTTGTGCATGGCGATAGATATGAATCTATTTTCATTCTTCTACATGTTGATATCCAGTTATGCCAGCACCATTTGTTAAGATGCTTCCTTTTTTTTCCATTTTATATTTTTAGCTTCTTTGTCAAAAATCAGGTGTTCATAGGTTTGTGAACTGATATCCAGGTCTTTGTTTCTATTCCATTGGTCCTCCTGTTTTTATGCCAACACCAGGTTGTTTTTATTACTAATGCTCCATAGCAGAGTTTGAATCCAGGGATTGTGATGCCTCAGAAGTTCCTTTATTGTACAGGATTGTCTGAAATGCTCAACATTCTTAGCCATCAGAGAAATGCAAATGAAAACAACTCTGAGATTACATCTTACACCTATCAGAATGGCCAAGATCAAAAACATTGACAGTTTATGCTAGAGAGGATGTGGGGCAAGAGGAACACTCCTCTGATGTGGGATGTTCTTCTTTATATGTGTTGCTTTTATTGGTAAATGAATAAAGCTGTTTTGGCCTACGACATGGTAGAATATAGCCACGGTGGAAAAGATTTACAGAAAGAGTAGGTGGAGTCAGGGAGATGCCAAGTAGCTGCCGAAGGAGAGAGATGCCAGAACCTTACTGGTAGGCCTCAACCTCATGGAGATAGGAGATACACAGATTACTAGAAATAGGTTAATTCAAGATGTAAGAGCTAGCTAGAAATACACCTGAGTCATAGGTCAAGCAGCGTTGTAATTAATATAGTTTCTGTGTGATTATTTGGGTCTGGGTGGCTGAAAAATGAATGATCAGTCTTCATTACACAATGGCGCCTATTATCTGGGGCATAGATTTACATAAGATGTTAAAAAACAAAAACAAAAAAAAGCTGAAGAAA